AACGCGGTGCTCGAGCTCGTGAAATCCCTCATGCAAGTATTATCGCTCGACAAGAACATCACGACGGAATCGCGCCTACTACGCCGTGATTTGCTAGCGCTCTTCGACGTCCGCGAGTTCAGCCGCGACGCCGCATTCGCGAACCCCAGCGCCTCGCTTAGGATCCCACAATGGAGCTGCACCGAGTGCACGCTCGCGCGGGACTGGGACTTGTGTCGCGACGAGAGCTTACTGCCTGACCTGTCAGCGCTGGCCGCGGACGGTGGGGGCTCGGAGGGCATATCCGAGGCAGAGATCCGGAAAGAGGCGGCGGCGAAGCCGTGGAATTGCACGTTCTGCGGCGCCGAGTTCAGCAAGCTGCGCATTGAGGAGCGGCTCCTCGCGGATGTCAATTCGTGGATCGTCGAGTGGACTACGCAGGATATCAAGTGCCAGCGGTGCGGCAGCGTCAGGCTGAACGAGTTCATGGAACATTGTACCTGCTCGGGCCCTTGGGGCGAGAGTATGAAGCAGGAGGATGTCATCAGGAGATTGGGAGTTTACGCCGGTGTTGCAGAGTGGTTTGGACTCAGGATGTTAGCTGCGCTTGTTGAGGAGGTGCTTGCGAGTTTGTAAATTTCTCACTGGTTACTCTTACCGGTCGCTCTTCAGGGGAAAGGCGATGAGGGGTTGGATCTCCGTTGCTTTTCTTTCTATGCTGTTGGGTTATCGGGTGGTCTGATATCTGTGGTTTCGTCGACGGCATGGCTACGCATGGGCACCCGGCGCTGGTTTTGTTCGCTCTGTTATTTGGTCGGTTATGAGCACCCGGGTATATTGATGCGTATGATGTAGACAGCGCATACAACGTAATGGCATGAAGTTATCACTCATCATGTCTTGTGAGGATCTTTTGTGAATCCTAACCCAACCTACAGTCTGTACCAATTGTAATGCTGAGTACGTGTGTTTCTATCGCTGGGTTTTTCATATCGTATTTACACTTTTTAAGGCGTCTGGGACGATCGAATCGGTTTATTCACACTGCTTCGATTTGAGACTTTATTCCTCGCAGAAGACATTGAAGGGATTGAAGACGTGTCTGGCCCTGGTATGAGACAGGGGGTGTATGGAATGGCGTTCTGACCTGACTGTTCGGCCACTTAAAGCTACTCGGCCATTTTGCCAACCGGTGTGATCACCCGTGCAGGTACCTATCCGAGTAGGCGGGGTGGCCGAGCAATAGAGCGGACAAGCTTCCAGGTTCTGGGAATGCGGTGCACTGCGGGGGACTAAGGTACCTAATCTACCTGACATCCACTGCAACGCCACTACAATACCACCTAAGCTGAGCCGGCTTCCGCACAATCTATACAGTGTATATACCATAATACAGACTGTATATATTGCACTGTGTCCCGGACTTCTCCACCACCTGGTCCCATCCGATTGGCCAACACACATGGTGCCCTCCCGACTTGGGCAAAGAGCTCCAAGCGCTCCGTTCATCTCCAGCATCTGCCGTCTCCAGCACAGCCGCCCTTCTCACGAAGATTCTCCGGACATCCCCCGACAACTCGCCGTGACCTGCGCCTCTTGGCTGCTTTGTCGATGGCTTCCTATTCCGAAACTAACGATCCTGCCTCTGCAGACGTCGCCCCAACACCTGCAATACCGCTACAGCAGCGCGAACACAGCCAAGATCAGCAACACGATCAAGCTCAGCAGCCTGGACCCGAACAACAACGACACGACGAGCAGTACGCTCCCGCGCACCTTGCACAATCCCCGTCTCGCGGCAACGACGACAATAATAACAATAACAATAACAATCACGATCATGATCACGATCACGATCACCCCAGTACCACTACCGTAGCAACAAATACCACCACAGCCACAACCACATCGTCATCGTCGTCGTCGTCGATCGCACATACAGAACAGTATGACAATTCGACCCTCGCATCGTCGGTGCCCGCTACCACCGTTGCGCATCATGGCCTTCAAGCGCTACAGGCTGCATCCGCGGCTCCCCTGGCACCCGTGACGAGCAATGACTTAGCCCAGCAATATGCTCAATCTGCTGCGCTGTTGCAAATAGGCGAATCGCAGTTGTCTTCCGCGCTGGCGAATCCCTCCATCTCGGCGCCAATCACCGGAATGCTCACCGGTGCCCATTCGTCGCAAAAGGTCACTCGTCTTCGTCGCGCATGTGACATGTGTAGCCAACGCAAAGTGAAGGTATTTCTATTCCCCATGTTGCCATTTATCTCGCACTCGAAACTGTTGAACCAGACTGACCGCAATCCTTTCACAGTGCGATGCGTCGAGCCGGCCTTGTAAGCCATGCTCCGACCTTCAGGTGGAGTGTACCTTCAGACGGGAAATGAAACGGCGCGGTCCCCCGAACAAGCACGCTGAAGCGGCCCGAGCCGCGAAACGCCACGAAATAGATCATGCCTCACCAATCCCACACAATGCTGCCGAAGCTCTGGTGTCAATCGCTACCACCGATGGGCCCGTTGCGCTAGATGCCGAAGCCATTGCGCCTTGGCCAGTCTTGATAATGTTGGTCGATGACTTCTTCACATACATGCATCCTCTGATGCCGTTCCCCCATGAGCCCTCATTTCGCCAGGCTTTCGCCAATCGCGCAGACCGAACAGACCGCGACTTTTTGGCACTCCTGGCCAGCATGATTGGCGTCTTAGTCGCTTCGTTCCCTCGCAGTGCCCGTGTTCAACTGAAGGCCCAGAACAGTGTTGGTGGTTTCCCAACAGCAATCACCATGATAGACCATTGTCGCTCAGTTGCCCTAGAGGCACGGGGGGCTAATTTCACGGCAAAGCAGGATATGACGGTTGATGATGCCGCTACCAGTTACTTTTTGGGCCTGGCTGCCAGCTACACATTACAATGGAAACTGTGCAGGCGCTTTTTAGCGGAAACCATGTCCTTCTGTAGGGAGCTTGGCACCCATCAATCACGAGATCTGGCCAGCTCGGTCGGTCATATATCCGATACCGTAGCCGCACTCGATTCAGTATCACTTGCAAGCAAACCAATTGATCATATAAGAGATCAAATTGGTAAGCGGATATTTTGGGCTATGGTCGCCACCATCCGGTAAGCTATACGAGCCACCGCTTTACTCCCACTATGGAGTCAGAATGCATACTAAGTCTATCTCCAGGTCAATGAACCAATTTGGAGCGTCGATCAATGAACTACCTCTCCCCCCACCAACCACGCAGGAACCATACCCAGCACAGCCCGTGGAGGTTGATGATGAGTACATATTTTCTCATCAGATACTACCACAGCCAGAGGGAACCATCTCTCTTATCACCGGATTCAATAGAAACATACGAATTTATATGACAATGAACGAGTTGATAGGGGTCGAAATGTGTTATGGAATCAGTTTCTTCGACTGGACCGCTCAGAAGAATATTATTGGTAACGGGCTAGTGTCCACGAAACAAACAATTGAGGATCTACCCTCGCAGTTGCAGATTGTCAAACCCGATCCTGATCAGAACGATTTAGCGGAGCTAGACCAAGCAGGGTTCGTCTACTGTCCACCTGGCTTCTCTGCAGCGCAACCCGAGAACGATATTCGTCGAGCACTAGCTCAGCAGCCCCCAAAACGCCGTCAGCTGCAGTGCGAAATACAGAAAATCAATGTCCATGCGTCTCAGCTTGCCACGCGATCATATTTCGTGGAACGCTACCTTAGCCTTCGAGACGCTCATATCGAAAATGCGCAAGGAGAAAAAGACGATAAAGACGAGACGGTGGCCGAGGAAAGAGAGTCAATTGTGCGAGACCTACTTGCCGTATTGATCTCCGTCCCCCAGCGCAATCTGGAGCCACATGGGCAGTCTATGATCAATAAATTTCGACAGGTCGCCAGTACGCTAGTACAAGGTGCCCCTCAGCACAAGGGCGCCGTCGCCGTTAAAGCTGAGGACTATCTCAATAGGTTCATTGATGTCCTCTCTAAGCTCGAGAAGTCAGGAACAACCGCTGTGGTGGGTGCCACGACACACATAATGGGCCCCCAGGACGAGGACGAGGAGCTCGGAAATTGGGCCAGCCTTCGGGAGTACCAGATGCAGTTCATCTCGTCTGAGGGATTTCTTTGCGGTGGCCTGTAGGCTGCCCACTAGTCTGTGCGTTCTATATATTAAAGCACAAAGGCACAACCTTCGTTGTATTCACAATATTTGTTGGGCCGCAAGCCCGCCCCGGGGTCATACTACATGACTTCGCTGCTCTACCAGGGCCCTTTTCACGTGCCCGGGCATCTAGCTAATTGTAATTTGGATAAGCCTATATATCTTAGGTACCCGGAAGGATCGAGTTGTGAGTTATGGAACTTGAAGGGTTTGAGGCGCCTCACATGGGGAGAGCCGCCACCGCCTGTCCGCCAAGATCGAACATGGGGACTTCGTTTGGTAAATCGTACCACCGGGTTCAGATACGACTACCCAGCGCAGTGTAGGTAGAGTAGGTAGATAATAATAAGTACGCAAACCTGCACAACCGATGCGGCCACGTGAAATGCCGGGGCCACGGTTTTCCGCCCCTTCCGAGCCGTGCCGGGATTCAAAAAAGGAAAATCTCATTCGCCCGGATAGAAAAGCGGGAGGCATATACCCCTTAGCCATCGCAAGCCCGTGATTGGAGCCGATTTGTCTTGTTTAGTATTCACACTAGAGAGGGCTCTCTGCCGTTACATCCAAAAGCTAGGTAGATCCCTACGCGTGCTACTAATTACTACATAAGCCGGGCATCACTAAGGCGGACACCAAAACCGGCCGGCCTTAGGGCCACCACGCCGTATCTCCCCTAGATCATGACTGCGCATTCACAGCTCAAAGAGCGCATCCAGTGCTGGGAGCTCGGATCGGGACGCATACCGTCACGCGTCATATATCTACATAAAAGGCACGCATACCCAGGCAAAACGCGCCCGAAAAAAAGGAAGGGGGAAATAACCTTGGAAAAAAATGAACCCAACGCGAGACTCGAACTCGCAACCTTCTGATTAGAAGTCAGATGCTCTAACCATTGAGCCAGCCGGGCTTAAACGGCGACGCGCTTGTTTGAGGGACCTCATGCTTGCAGGCTTTTGTGGTCGTACATGGCGGGATTTGTTTGAGGAGTCTTTTAGTGTTTCCCTTGCTCAGGCTTGTTCTCGGTTTGTTCGTGTGTTTACGACTTATCACCAACACGCGGCGCAAGGTTGGGTTTATGCTTGTGAAATACTGGCTATGGTTATGTAATTGGCGAATTGAATGATTCCGCTATGGATAGTTGCTGGGGGCGTATGGAGATGGTATGTTTCCCGTCCCCCAATGACTTCCCTTCACAAACGACTTATAGCCAAAGTTAGAGTAGGAACACTCTCACCATCTAACAGCGGCATGAAATTTAAATGAATCATCGATGCCTTCTTCCGCTGTTGTATTCATTCACTATGAGCGTTGACGGTCTAAAAAGCTGAGCAACGGAGAATATACGTCACCACCCCTTTGTATAATGCATGCGTAAGTTGTAAATCATCACCTCCGACGCTCATCAATGGCGTCATATATTCAAACGAACAGATAAATAGATGGTCCTCAGACTCTTCAACGAGTCGGAGTGCACTTCGATGTGGGATTAAAGAGTGCATCACCGTTAGATAGGCATTTCAGACGGTGCAGTCAGTCCAATAATCGACCACGCGGAGATTAGTTTGCTGGGCATATGTGGCATTCTGAGTTCCGAACCCCTATTCAAGTCGAATTTCAACTTTGAATCGATATATCTTGTCTACAAGATGCCGTACCCTGACGAATTCGAAGGCTTCATGATCAACAAACTCGGCCAGTACCGGGACTTCAAAAAGCAGACTGTGAGTCTATAATTTTATGAATCGCTTCACCACTCGTTAGACCATCAGACTCACCATCTTGTCCCTTATACAGTTCAAGCCCAAGACATTCGGCCAATGTGACATCGATGTTAAGATCGAGTGCTGCGGTGTTTGCGGCTCCGATGTTCACACCGTTACGGGTGGCTGGGGCGATGCCCCAACCCCAATTTGCGTCGGGCACGAAATTGTAGGCAAGGCGATCAAGGTTGGGCCCCAGGTAAAGACTGTCAAAGTGGGCGATCGCGTCGGCGTAGGTCCTCAAATCTGGTCTTGCCTGAAGTGCCCTCAGTGTAAGAGTGACAATGAGAACTATTGTCCCAAACAAGTTGGTGAGCCCTACCATCATTTCAATCATTCCGCATCCGAAGCCTGACCTCTGACGTGCACAGATACCTACGGAGCACCTTATCCCAAGGAAGCTGACCCGAATGAAACCATCAGCCAGGGCGGTTATGCCTCACACATACGGGCTCATGAGCACTTCGTCTTCCCTATACCGGATGCTATCCCGTCCCATCTGGCAGCACCCATGCTCTGCGCCGGCTTGACTGTATGGGAACCCCTAGTAAGAGCGGGGATAGGCCCAGGGCAACAAGTCGCTATCGTTGGTCTCGGTGGCCTAGGTCATTTCGCTACCATGTTCGCCAACGCGCTCGGCGCCGAGGTAACGGTGATCTCTCACTCGTCCGGGAAGAAAGAAGATGCTCTGAAACTGGGGGCCAAGCATTTTGTGAGCAGCGCAGAGAAAGATTGGGCAAAGCCATTGGCATTCACATTCGATTTCATGCTCAGCACTACTAAGATGCTGCCATCGGCCGTACTTGCGGAGTACCTTTCAACCCTCAAGGTCAACCGCAAATTCCACCAAGTCGGTCTTCCTGATGAGGCCATTAAGGAACTCAGGCCGCAGCAGCTCATGACGAATGCTAGCAGCATCGGTTCGAGCCATGTCGGCAGTCGAGCTGAGTGTTTGGCGATGTTGAAGTTCGTCGCTGAAAAGAGGCTCTTTCCTATTGTCGAGACGATCCCGGTCTCCGAGAAAGGGTGTGCGGAGGCCGTCGAGCGCGTTAAGACCAACAAGGTCCGTTACCGCTTCACTCTAGTCGACTATGACAAGGCTTTTGGGGCTTAGGGTTGTTTGGTAAGGCATCATGAGCCGGCTAGGTTGGGTTATGATAGATCATGACAGAGGAATGGAATGGTTTAATCAGGGGGGCCTTTGCTTAATGTTTATTCGAGGGAATTTACGGACTTATCTAGTGTATTGAATGAAAAGAGAGGGTTGATGTGTTGAGAGCTTGAGGGCCAAGTGTTGGAGCTCGGAAGCACAGCAAAGTCTTGCGCCATACTTTGGCGATCACCCACCTTTGTGGCTGTGCACGTGCGAAGGTGGGGATTATGGAACCGACGGTGTATTACCTGCTTAACGAGGTGGAATATGCGTTATGTGCACAATGTACCTTTAGGACATGTCTGCTTACCTCATCGCTGGCTGGCGAAGGTACTTGGCACTTTGCGCCGTCCAGTGCACGCTGGTTGAATCTTCATGGATTTTTGTGCCCGCATGCAACAATACACCCAAACACACCACGCAAATCTTTCTCTCCCTCTCCCTTTTTCTCTGCTTATATTTGCATCGGGTATCTCATCCTCAGTACCTATCTGTCCTGTTATCTACCTAATCTATACGCTACAGACTTCAAGGGTATTCGTCGATTGGTGATCCACTCGTGCCAAGAGCGCCAGTTGTCGGCTTAACCAGCTGTTCCCGGGGTTGAGATTATTATTATCCTACCTATCTAGTTATGTACTTACTATGAATTATCCATGATAGGGGACCCAGCGGAAAAGTACCTAGCCAGCCTTCAATCCGGTATTGACATTGACATTGCCATCGACTCTGCCATTGGCATCCGACCTCGACCCCGTCCTCCTCCCGTCCATCGGTACCACTCGTACGCGACACAGACTCGGGCGCCTGGGCACTCTCCCGATTGCCAGATTTTGCTCCCATCGACGGTCTCTTATCTTGCCTACAATCCGTAGAGAAGAGAGACAGCCGAGTCTAACAATGTCGTCGGGATTGACGAGACGACGTGGCGGCGGCGGCGGCGGCACTGCGAACGACGCCGAGTCTAGCAGCAACAACGGCATCAACCGTTCCCAATCTTCATCCAATGCCCGCGACAATGCGCCCGAGACTAGCTATGAGAACAGCGAGAACGGTCATAAGATAGCGTTCGACCCACGCGACATCAGTGAAAGCGCCGAGCGAAGCAAGCAGCCCAAACTCACATTGATGGACGAGGTGGTGCTGCTGGGACTCAAAGACAAGCAAGTAAGCAAATGCGCTCCAAGGAACCTGGCCAGGTTGACGACACGTGCTATCTAAGACTCACCGCGCTGATGGCCACCACAGGGATACCTGTCTTTCTGGAACGACAACATCAGCTATGCTCTGCGAGGCTGTATTGTCATAGAGCTCGCCTTCCGGGGCCGCATCAGCATGCAAAAAGATCCATCCCGGCGGCGCTTCCCGCTTGCTGATCGGGTAATTGAGGTTATTGATGATACTCTGACTGGCGAGGTGCTGCTAGACGAAGCATTGAAGATGATGAAGCAGAGCGAGAAGATGAGTGTCGGCACGTGGATTGATCTGATGAGTGGTATGCTGTCAACCATCTCTCCGTCTATTTTGCGCTTCTACAAGCTGCTCTGGTACCTGGGCTAACACTATTCACTGCAACAGGCGAGACCTGGAATCTTATGAAGATCGGCTATCAGTTGAAGCAGGTTCGGGAACGCCTCTGCAAAGGCCTTGTTGACAAAGGAATCCTGCGAACCGAGAAGCGCAACTTTCTTCTATTCGACATGGCTACACACCCCGTAGCTGACGGCGGTGCAAAAGACGAGATCAGACGGCGCGTTAGAAACGTCCTCACTCAACGCACCGTCGTCCTCCCTAGTTCCCAATTCCTCCCGGATAACCTCGAATTCCGATATATTCGCACCATTTCTATGATTTGCGCTGCTTATGCCGCCAACGTGCTAGAAAACGCATTGACTACTCTTGGCCATGAGGCTCGCGAACGGGCCTTTACCCAGACAGACGAACTCCTGGCCGAATACTCGCAGTGGCCATTTGGCCGGAAACCAAGCTCCACCGGCATTGGTTCCAACATTCCCCAAGTTATCACCGAGGTAAAGCACCCCCTTAGGTTTATCCACTTAACGATGTCTAACGCTGTCATTCTTATATAGGAAGTCAACGGCGCCAAGGACAAGGAGCTTCAACTTGAAGTTGTTGCAGCCTGCTTGAGTGTCTTCACCCGCCTTGATTCGCTGCTCTAAAGCTGAGTTCACAAGAATCGACTTATCTCTCCCTCGCCTTTTCTCCACCCATCGTATGGGAGAAGATTCTTAACCGAAAAAAAAAACCTCAACAAAACCTACTCTTTACCTCACTTTCAACTTCATAACGTCACTGCAAGCGGCAAGCAAATGGTTTGTTTGCTGTAGTTGCCCATGAGAGCAGCAGTTTCAAGATACTTAGATTGATGAGCAGCAGGACAGCAAAGGGGAGTCGACTGCATCTAGTCGAATATGCGGACGTGTTCCATGATCATCAACAAATGGCTTGTTTGGTAGATGTGACGGCTGGATGGATGGATAGATGAAGTCTTACAGGCACGATTGATTCACTTGACGGACAAGTGTACCTGACTGAACATAAAAAACGAGCTCACGCCCGCTCGGCGAACCCTGCGGTCTACATAGAGCCCCACGCAACGAAAAAAAAGTGATGCAAAGGGACGGGGGACGGGAAGACGGAGGAGGCGCTAGCACGGTTTGACGGGTTTGATACGATTGATCCGGCTGGACTGGGCTGTGTTGGCTGGTTGAGTCCGTAGGTACTGTCGTTTTAAACCCCTTTATGTTAATTTCCATTAGATCAAACATCTACGCTTGAACCGTGTTGTAATTTGTTGTTTTTTTTATTTGCTGTGTTATAGTAGCCTAAAAGATTTATGGAATACCAATATCCCTTTTCTTCAATCCCTCTTTCAATCTCGGCGTTGACAGGGGCTTTGGGGGGTGGACTTGGCGACGATGCCGACTCATTGGCCTTCCCTACGTCGCTTTTCTTAACTTCTCCTTCCAACCA